TTGATCATGTAACATCCTGTGCTTACTGCAGGAACTTGGGGACCTAAATAGATTAAGATTATTAACATTGTCACAACTTAGATGATACGTGAGGCATCGTGCATGTCCTATATAAACCCTTTTCCAAGAATCAATAAACAGAGAACTGCTTCGCTTCTCTCCACACGGTGTTCGTGTGTACATGATATCACGTCACCGACATTCAGGACAGTTCTGAGATACCAAAATGAGTAAAAGATGGTTTCTGCCATCAAATGCATTCAAGATGAAGAGGGTGAAACAGTCATTATATTAGCCAAGCTTCTTTAATTGAATGAAACGTGACTAACTAGTTTTGGTCAAGAATGGGTATTTCCTGGCCAATGGGCACACGTTGTGGGAAGGAAGACGTTTAAAGATGGTGCAACATGGAACTTTAACGCCCCCAGAAGGCTCTTCCTTTCTCTTCTCTGCAGATCAACTCTAGTCTTTAATAGTCTTCATTCACAGTGCCTGGAATGTGGCTTCCATCAGCCTTCAGACTCACATTTATCTGCTGAGGAATGGAGGCTCAGTCTCTGAACCCAAGAGTCCAGGGCTGAATGGTCAAACTGGGGATCAGGGTCGTCCCCACATCAAGAACTAGGCTAGGGAGGTGGTACCCTGAAAAAATGGCAATTCTCTTCGGAATCACACAGGTAGAAAAATAAGTTCCCAGGAGAGAGGAAGGGAATGTTCTAAGAATCTTATACTGGACGATTGATGTCCAGTATAGGCAGGAAAAGTAATGGTTCCAGTGTTGATACTGTGATTTGCATGGGTGTCTGTATCTCTGTTCCTGTCTGTATAGACTGTGGTAGAGGCTGGGATAACGGACACTGAGTGGAGGTGATGATGGGAAGAGGCTTCATAGAGGAGGTAACATCGCAGGGACTCTTTGAGGCTCACTAGAATTTTACTAGACGGGCAAATGGAAATAGCAATTGCAAAAGCATGAAGGTATGGATGGAATGGTATGTGCGGGCCACAGCAAGGTAGCTTTGATCTGGGTGTATGTTAGAAAAGCAGACAGCATCGAGATCGGTAAAGAACTTCTCTCCCTTGTTCTATGTTGAACTCTGTCCTGGGAGATTGGGGACCCATTGCGTTTTTTCACGAGGTGAGTTTCAAATCAGACTTCTCTTCCAGGAGGACTGGTAAGCAGTCCAAAGTTCAGACTCCAACTGGACACTTGAGGCCGGCCTGCTGCTCTGTGCTCTGTGCTCAGCTATAGCTCAGCATCCCTCTCTTCCTCCTTGTTCTCCTGGGCTTGCGTCCTAGCTGCAAGTCCAAGGATGCTTGTAGAGGGAGTCGGGGGAGTTTGTACTACAGGAGAGGCGTACTTTGTCCTCCTGAAGGTCCCTCCACTTGACTCTTGACTGGAGGTCAACAGCTCTGACCCTCGACAGCACTAGGGTGAACATTGGGGATGACATATCGGGGGAGGGCTGGGGCCTGAAAGGATGCAAAGGACAATGATTATGGGACATCAAAGACGAGTTTCATCTACATCAATATGTTGCCTGGGCTTTGCCTCAGTACCTTCCACGATGAAGCTGATTTCTACCCCTAGTGCCTGGGCTCCTAGTTTGGTTGATCTTTGAAAATCTGACAGGCTGAGAAACTCGGGGCAAAATTCTCCTTCTTGCCCACTTTGAATCAGGAGCAGAAATCCATGATCATCAGGCTGTTTTTCCTATGTTTCAATCCCCCCTTGTTCTCAGTATGGCTTCACATAGAGAAAAGAAGGTATAGCAGATTCCAATATAGTTTCATACAGAAACAAGAAAGTTCATTATCAATAATGCATTTTATTTACCGATTATTTTACCTACTGGTGTACAGGCACGATAGAGTGATACAAGGTCAGTTGGTGAGAGAAGTGCTTACTTTCCACCCTGCTTCTTTTAATAATTCTGATTGTGCCAGGGAGAAATTCCATCACTTCATTTAAATCATCTCTGGCCGCAGATCATCCTGTGTCCTTCTTATAGTATGGGTTCCACAGTTTTGGAAATAGTATTTCTCTGTGAGAATTAAAAAGTGCAGAGTAGAGCACAGTTGCTATACTCAGTCTAATAGTTATCTCCTTACTTAAAACAGTTGCAGAAACCGCAGACTGTAGTGGCTGGGCTAATGAAAAAGAAATGTAACTAACAATGAATTCTGGGAAAACACTGAATATCCTTACCACAATTTTGAAATTCTGGATTTCTTTTCTTTTATTCAATACCAAAGCCAGATAAATGTAAGTCCAATTAATCTATTTTCTGTGTGAAGAAATTGAAAATGTGGTGGTTTTAGTATCTTAAATTCCTTCAAAAGTTCAGCTTAAAACTCCTTAAACAAGTTTCTTCTGCATAGCGCAGGGAACTATGTTCAGTATCTTGTAGTAACCTATAATGAAAAAGAGTATGAAAAGGAATATATGTATGTATATGTATGACTGAAACATTATGTTGTACACCAGAAGTTGACACCACATTGTAAATTGACTATATTTCAATTAAAAACAAAAAAGGAAAAAAAAACACCTCTTATTTTATGAAACAAATTTATGCATCCTTAGTAGAGTAAATGTAATTCTCAGTAGAGGACAGCTTTTGCATTATAATTTCTTTAGGGAAAAGACTTGTTTGAATTTTACAAACAGAAGAAAGGAAAAAGAAGGGTTGAGTTCTCTGGAAAAGGCTGTCAATCCCCAAAGCCACTTTTATATGACTGTATGAATGTGAAATCTCAATTGTAAAAAACATTCCCACAATAATACTTTCCAGAAAAGTTACTCCAAAAAGCCAGCTTCCTGTTGTGCTGACATTATTTAAATGCTGCTGCTGTAATTGGAAGGGGAGAACCCTACCCTTCTCCTGAAGTGAAGTCAGCCTCCTTCCCTCCCTGGGGATTTCACTCGTGGTTGGAAAAGAACGACTCAACTAACTCATCTCTGTCAGCTGGGGATGTCTGGACACAGCGTGAGCACAGCTCCCCCCGAGGCCCCGGCACAAATGGGAACTGCAACAGTATTTGGTCCCTGAGGCTCCACGCTCTGACCCTTGCCCGGACAGGACCTGAGACCCGCTGATGTTAAAGGTTGAGTCTTGGGGTGGGGTGTGGCGTGCACCTCAAGTGGGGAAACCATTCCTTGGCATCTCAAGTTTTTTTTCTGATTACGTTCCAGAAATGATACTAGGTGGTGGTGTACCAGGAGCGCGGCCGCCCACCTCCCCCCGCCATTTTGCTTTTGTTGGGTTGAGGTCTCTGTTCTCATGACATCTCTTGGGGGACTACTGAGCGGGGCCAAGTTTGACAATCAGAACGGGTCTGTGGGCGCTGCCAGGGACCATGGATACTCAGCACACCTCCCACCCCTCAACACACACACACACATGAGAGGAAAACCTTAAGAGGGAGGAACCAGGTCAGGCAGGTTTGGGGGTGCTGACCCTTGAGGACCAGGAGGAGACCTCCCCCCCAAACTGAACAGAACTGTGTTCAAATTGAGCATTTGAGGGTGTTCTGTGCAGAACCCCTTGGCTTCCTGACTGTTTTAAATAGATTCCAGAAGTCTAGGTCACCTTTAGCTTAGAGCAAATACACTGTCTTCTGGGGAAAACCATTTCCTCCTTATTAGTAAAAAGCAAAAAGAAAACCAGTTGCAAGTTCACACATATTTGTGTTCCCTTGGTTAGAAAAATAATAGTCAAAGGAAAAGGTCCCGACAGCCCTCGTACAACTTCCCTCTTTCCATCCTTCCAACCACATTCTTCCTCAGATACACCTGGAAACTTCCTGATTAACTTAAGGAGCAGTTCCAGAATCAAGAAGCCTAGTGCCCCAGAGGTCCTTGCTGAGCAAGGCGGGGCTCCCACCTCTCGTTTCCTCTTGGCCTTTTAATAAACTTTCATCAGTGTAAGTAATTTCCCCATGTCTCTTCGTGGACAGCCGAGAAGCAAGCAGGCTACAGCAATAGACTAAAACAAATAAAAGATTGAATCCAACTGCACAAGCTGGGAACATGTTTACCTATAAAATCCCAACTGTGGGTCCATGTCCATGAGAAACAAACAAACAAACAAACATTAAAAAAAAGCCACTCTAGATAAACAACAAATTCCTACTGTATAGCACAGGGAACTACATTTAACATCTTAAAATAACTTACAATGAAAAAGAACCCGAAAAAGAATATCTACGTGTAACTGAATCACTATGCTATAGACCAGAAACTGACAGAACATTATAACTCAACTATACTTCAGTTTAAAAAAGTAATCTGTATAAAAATCTTGTTCTCCAGCAACTTTTCATCAAAAATTTTAATGCCTCTTTTGCCCAGTTATGATAGCTTCGAAAATGTTGCTGTTTTAACTTTATCATTCCTTGTACATTTATTAGTTGGCATTCTGCGATAAAGAAGGTCTTTTGCTCTTTCTTTCCATTGATTTATTTACAATTTTTAACATCAGTATGGTCTCAGATTGTTTTGAATTTGATTTATTATATCCACTACTGTCATTAGGTTTCTTAAGTTGTTTGGTTGTGGTGTAATTTACCTACAGTTAAAAAAAAAAAGCCTTCAAGTTCTTCATTGTCATCTCTGTGAGAAATCAGAACTTCATTTTTGATGCCCGTGCCCCACTTCCCTGGCTCCCGTTCCGGGCGCTGCAGGGCAGCTCCTGCGACCTGTACAGGTGCGCTCTCTGGTCCCTCTCCGACCTCCGCTTCGGGACATCGCCCTGTCCTCCCCCCAGCCCCCGCCCTCGAGACTGTCCTCTGGTTCTCTGCGGGTAGCGGAGGAAACCGCTGAGGAGCCCGCTGGAGCCGAATGGCCGGCCAGTCCTCAGCCCAGTAGCAGCGGTGGCCTCAACTCAGCGGCCAGCAGATAAAGGTTGCCCTAGGTTTCTGAGAAACCGCCTTCGCAAGTTCTTTTCTGGCAGCCCCCGTCTTCCCCCGAAATGGCTCGTCGGAGCCAACAGCTGGAGCGTCTCCGGACACGCCACGAAACGCGGGGGGAGCTCCTCGTCAGCCGGCAAGCTGAGGTCAAGGGTCAGCGCCGGCTTTAAAGAGCCGCGCGGGCGCTGCGCGCCGGGTACCACCTGCGGCTTCCCGGCCGCCTCCCGGCTCCGCGCTCCTCCCCGGCCGGCCGTGCGCGGGCACTGCGCCCCGGCGCTCCCGCAGCCCTCGGGCAGCTGGGGGCTCTGCGGGGTTCTCAGTGGCCCCAGGACCCCAGGAAAGCTCGGTGAGTGCGGCGTGCGGGGCCTTGGGACCTGAAGGGGGCGGAGGAGGACAGGTGCCTAGGCGTGAGTGCGTTCTGATGATTTCGCGCCTGGAGGACGCCCTGTATCCCGGACTTCAAGGAATTTTGCAAAGGGTTGAGACTGGGTTTTTACAATTGGAAAGGACCTTGGAGCAGGGCTATCGAAAGTGTGGTCCAAGGACTAGAAGCAGCTCCGTACCCTGGGACCTTGTTAGAACTGCGAATTAATGGGCCCCGCCCCGCACCTACTGAGCCCGGATCTCCGGGGCGGGGAGGGGCGGGCTCTGAAGTGCGTGTGTTAACAAGCCCCCCGGAGATTCTGATGCAGCTGAAGTTTGATAACCACTGACGTAGAGGTCATTTAGGCTATCATTTGGGCCCCTCACCCCATGCAGGAACCCGCAAATAAACTGCAGTGGGTGCAGGGACCCTGAGCCACAAGGCATTAGATACGGGGATATATTCAGATATTGCCTAACAAGAACTTTGAAATACTCATGGTTGGTGGGAATTGCTATTTTGTTTCAAGCTGCGAACTAACATCTTTGAGCTTTCCTCAAAACAGCACTTAACTGGCGTTAACAAACATTTCTGAGTTTCTTCTATGTGCAAGGTTCTATCAAAATGAAGGAGGGAGTTACTGTTTCTTAGGATCTCCAAACTGGTGTATTTTTTCCTTAACCAAGATCTTTGTAATTTGGTGTAGTGCTTCATACCGCACTTTTATTTTGGCTTTAGTATTTAAGTGTGCCTTCTGAAGTTGATTTTTGTTCTTGTTGTTAATCTGGAATGCCAGCATAGATATTTTGGAAGAGGTATTTATTTTGAGAGTTCTGAAGGAAATCTTAAAGGAAAAAAATCTTCACTTTCTCATTGGCAAGACACATCTTTTGATCTTTGTACTGATATTTGCGTGCCGTGATATATTTTATGAATAGAATAAATAGAGTCCCAGAGATTTCTTAAGAATCAAAGCGAGAGAGACAATTAGTTGTCTTCTCTGAGGAGTCCAATGCCACAGCAAGCTGCCTTGTACAAACTCGGAGAAGAAATCCATTGCTTTGAGGAAGCTCCTTAGAAACAAATATGGATGCCATGTATACCCAAATCATGTGGTTCCCCATTCTGCAAGGTTCTGAACAGTTTCTGCCAATGAACCAGGGACCCCATTCATGAAATACTGGATGATGAAGGTTCTATGATTGGTCTGGTGTCAGTTGTGTTGTTTGGTTCTCCTTTGTCTAATCTTTGGGTGGCTTAATTTAAATATTAAATCTAGATCCACAACTCACTCATTTGGAAACTTTGGAGCAAATGCAAATTTCTGTTTTCCTCTCATCTATGGGTGGTTACGGGATGTATGGTTTATCTTAAAAATTTTTTTATTGAAGTATAGTCAGTTTCCAATGTTGTGTCAATTTCTGGTGCACAGCATAATGGTTCAGTCATACATGTGCACATATATTTGTTTCATATTCTTTCTCATTATAGGTTATTATAAGACATTGAATATAGTTCCCTGAGCTATACAGTATAAACTTGCTGTTTATCTATTTTATATGTAGTAGTTAGTGTCTGCAAATCCTGAACTCCGAGTTTATCCCTTCCCACTCCCTTTCCCCCCTGGTAACCATAAGTTTGCTTTCTATGTGAGTCTCTTTCTGTTTTGTAAATAAGTTCATTTGTTCTTTTTTTTTTTTTAAAGATTCCACATATGAGTGATACCCTATGGTATTTTTCTTTCTCTTTCTGGCTTACTTCACTTTGAATGATAATCTCTGGGTCCATCCATATTGCTGCAAATGGCATTATTTTATTATTTTTTTATGGTTGAGTAGTATCCATTGTACACATAAGGATGTATGGTTTTTGTTTTGTTTTTGTTTTTGAGTTTTGGAGGCAGGATGTATGGTTTTGATGTAGCACTTGCTGGCATTATCCCACAGTATCTCCCCAGAGTTCCCTACCTGCTGTATGGCTGTCACACTGAATCCTTATTAATATGTTAAAACAGAGAAAATACTTAATATAATGATCATATCATTAATTATGTATGCACATTTTAAGTTAAAACATCTAAAAGCCTTGTTCACATATTTCAAAGACTAACTTCTGTTTCAAATCAGCTTCGGACGTGTTGGTGAAATTGGAAGCCACTGCTAGCTATGTCACAGGCCTGTGAAAATACAGTTTGCCACAGTAAATATTCGCCTGAATCATGACTGCACATGCTTGTTCCTAAGTATTCAGAGAGCATGTACTCAGCCTCCTTCTGTAACGAAGTAGGAGATTTACAACCTAGGTCTTGTTTTCATGTTATTGGATGTTGTGATTTTCCTTCTCCAAGTTCAAATCACCTTTTAGAAGGGAAGAATTTTGAGTCCTGGAATATCTACCCTTTAGCTCTGACAATAGAGGACAGAAACTCCCTTGAGATGTGTCCTTTTCATTGCATTGCAGTCTGCTTTTAGGATGTTCCTGTCTATTTCGTAGGATCTCAGATCCAGGTCCTCTCTGCAGAGGAGGAGGAGGTGGGTACTGAGTAAAACTGGAGCCTAAGATACAAGCAAAATGCATGCCAGCTTCTAAGGAAGAGCCAGCTGGTGGTGCATGTCACAGTTGTGGGCATCTGTCACCCCTGTCAATCTCCAGTGCCCAATGGTACTGCCCTAGGTTCCTCTGACTTGCCTGAATTCTGATCCTTCAAGCCACTCTTTGGGGGCATACTGTGATTCAAGACTTAGTCTCTGAAAGGCTGTTGTAAAATTCCAAAGTATTTGAGGGTCCCAGGTGACACCCTGAGCCTTCTCCCTTAACATGATTAGCTAATCGTTATTTTGGAAGATATTAAGGGACACGAAGAGCCAAGAATAGAAGAGATCTTTGTAAAGGCAGTGTAGGGCAGTGGAAAGAGCATATTTCTGCAGGCAGAGAGACCTCAAGTTTTGAGACAAGCTGTATTACCGCTCTGACCCTCAGTTTCTTCATCAGTATTATGGGTACAATTACTGTGCACAAAGACCTACTCTTCTGCTGGGCCATCTACTTTCTGTGTATATTTCATCAGCTAACCTTTGCTACAAAGGAGGTTTGGAACTATGTTCTTATTGCTGAGCAGGTTGCCCCATCCATCTATTGGTATGGAGGTTCTCTTAATAAAGAAAGATGGAATATCAGGTAATAGGGAGGCAGCTAGAGGCCTCTGCGGCATGGATGCGGGACAAGAATGGTTCTTTGGAGAAGAGCAAGTGACCGTGGTTGTGTTGGGTAGTGGTTTGCACATGTGCGTGCACTGAGGAATAGAAGGTGGAAGAGAAAATGTAACAATAGATTTCTAGGCAACTCGATGGCTTGAGGATGTTCAAGTCAAGCGGACAGCCCCCTGGAGGAGAAGTACTCTGGGTGTGATATTGTGGTAATAATGGTATCTCTGTCTAGGTCTTGAAGCAGTTTATTAAAGTGGTTGTATTTAAATCTCACAGTGATATCCAAAGTTAAACACATAAACACATCTACTTTTTTTTTTTTTATTGCCACTTCACTGATGAGAAAGTTGAGGCTTGGGATTATTAAAACCTTGCCCAAGAGCTCATGCCCGGTTAATGCAGAGCTACCCTAGACCTCAGCTTTCCTGACACGCCGTTCATCTCCTTCATGGAGAGGGTGCAGGTTGTAGAAGAAATGAGAAAGTGAAGGTGACTCCACATACTTTATTTCGATGATTACAATTAAGTAAGAAAACAAATTTGTGCATTTGTTAAAAATGCACAAATTTGAGAGATAACATAATCAAAATTTGCAAATGGTAGAATGATTTAAGATCCCACTTACCTGGGTTCCAATCAACATTTCATCCCTTCCTAGCTGTGTGAACATGGGTAAGACATTTAACATTACTATCTTCTCCTGTCTTATGGGCAAGTAGTAGCACTCACCTCACAAAGATGTTGTAAAGATAAAGACAAAGAATCGTGACACATAATAAGAAATACGTAAATGCTTGTTAGTCCAGATGGACCATAACTAAAAGAAGCAATGGAAAATTAATTGAGTTAGTTGAGATTCCTGATGACAAAATAAATCCAGAAAAAAAGATAAATAGCTTCTCTATAAGTAGTAACAAGCAGCCAAAAGTATAATGAGAGGAAAATGTCTGTTCTTAATAGCAATAAACTACAAAATAGCTGAGAACCATGAACGTGAAATGTACAGGACCAACGTCTGTTGGATCCAAACTTTACTGCCCTTGCCTCACACTCCTACCTCAAACAGCCACCCCCCACACACACTCAGAGGCTGCACAGAAAACCCATAGCACCAGTATGGGTCTAATGCAAAAACACTTCCAATAAACAAGGAAATATTTATGTTACATGCAAAACAAAGATGAAGAATTATTTCAGGAAACAGAAGAAAATGACTCCAAACTCTAAGGCATCAGAGAAAACAGGTTTTGTAAAGAAAGAGCTCAAAAAAATGCAAGAGACAGTGAAATGCATGGCCAAGGAAGGCACAGAAGGAGAATAAGACCATTACAAAACCCAAACCCAAACTAGAAACAGCTAGATGTAAGTCAGCCGTGTGGAAAACTGAGTTTGGACTTAGAGCCCACCTGCCTGGGTTCCAATCAGCATTTTGTCAGCTTGGGGAAAAATTTCACAGATCGCAGAGGATGAGGGTAGAGGGAAAAACTGGTGAAAGAGAGTAATAGTGATGGAAAACAACAGAGAAACAGCATGGGACTACGTGGACTTCATGGGAAAAAGAAAAGAGACCAAAAGGAACTGAAATAAATGTAAAACGTATTTGATCTCAAACTATCATTAGTTTCAAGATGTACCATTGATTTCAAAATAGCTTCTGGGGGAAAAAAATGAAAAGGAAAAAGACAAATGAACATAAATACGAAACAGAAACAGACTCATAGACATAGAATACAAACTTGTGGTTGCCAGAGGGGGAGTGGGGTGGGAAGGGACAGA